GTCATTTCTTCAGTGTTGTCACATGAAAAGATATAATAAAATATTTACAAAAATGTGAGGGGTGTACTCACTTCTGTGAGATACTGTATATATATATATGAAAATGCGTATTTTTGAATTAAAGATAACTTATAGATTTAATATGGGCTGCTTTTGGTAATTGACACTTTTTTTATTGGTCATTTTATGTGTTTTACGAATAACAAGATTGACTACAAGGTTAAGAAGCTTACTTAAATGTAAAATGTTTTTTCTCTATTTTGCAATAAAAGACGGCTTCCCTTATTGATCACGTCTCGGGTAGATTGCATGTTTTCTTGCACGGCAGGATGTTGGACTCATAAAAAATAATCACGTAGTTTGTAGTTGCCAAAACTGATTTACCGAAGTCAAAACACGGACGGCGTTTAGCGCGAGCGCCGCTTAATTGTGAAGCAGGAGCGACCAGCCAGCAGAGGATTCTGCAGCCTTCCTCAAACAGTTATGTTCAGGATTTTCTGATTTACTTAACGAATACTGTGTGAGGGGGCAAGAAACGGGCCAAGGGGGGTCACGTACGGGACACATAAATTAAGCCTAATATACGGGACGGGACGGTTGGCAACCCTAGCTGTCCCCTGCCTGTTCTGGCATCCTGGCTCACAGCATGTCCACCATGTTGAAATAGTAAGGTTTGTAAGGTCTAAATAGTCTGGTTTTAAATTATTGTTGTACAACTGTCGATACCAATGCTCTAGCGCTCTCCTGATTGCCTGCCAAAATGGTGGAGTTTAGAGTGCGTGACGTCAACCTCCGGAGCTCTATAGTGCCCCATTCCTATATTTTGCCTGGGGCCCCCAATTCACTAAATCTGCCCCTGAATTTTAAAACATTTTTCACATGTTGTTCCAAACCTGTATGATTGACTTTCTTCTGTGGAATACACAAGAATATATTTAAAATAACGTAAATGCAGTTGTGGCCTAAGGGTTAGAGAGTTGGACTTGTTACCCAAAGGTCGTGGGTTTGAGTCTCGGTACAGGTAAGGATTGTATGTGGGGGGAGTGAATGATCAGTGCTCTTTCCACCTTCAATACCACGGTGAGATCCTTGAGCAAGGCACCGAACCCCCAACTGCTCCCCAAGCGCCCCAGCAAAACTGGCTGCCCACTGCTCTGGGTGTGTGTTCACTGTGTGTGTGTTTACTACTCACTGCAATGTGTGTACACTTGGATGGGTTAAATGCAGAGCACAAATTCTGAGTATGGGACACCATACTTGGCTACACATCACTTTCTTTCACTTTCGTAATGGAGCTTTCACGCTTTAAAAAAGATGCAGAAGCTAATGAATCACAAAAGTAGTTCATATGACTCATGCTTTATGTATATTTTGTGAGAAACAAACACAAATGGAAGCTGTTATTCACTGATAATATTAATCTTTAGTGAGATGTTAACCACTGATCATTGAGCAGATCATTGAGTCAGTGATTGAACTTGTGAACTTTATCAGGCCATTTTTGGAATGAGTCATTCAGACCACTTTTGTGGACGAGATCAGCCAAAACAAGATCCGACTCAAAACGATGATTTGTTCAGTTGGACATCAGTCCACTGTTCATTTATGATCATTATATTGTATGTCATCAGAGTTGTCGTCATATGAACAACTACTTTGTTGCATTTACATCTTTTTTGAAGCTTGAAAGCTCCAGTCTCCATTATGTGTAGTTGTATGGAAAAAATGTGCAGTACATTCTTTATCTCCTTTTGTGTTCGGCGGAAGAAAAAAAGTCGGGTTAGGAACGACACGAGGGTGAGTAAATGATGACAGAATTTTCATTTGCGGATGAACTATTCCTTTAGGTTAAAAGAAAATGATTTCCGTTTAACGTTCGTCTGGTTTGTGGTTGTTGGAGTTAAGCGGCTCCCACTCTTTCAGCTGCATTGTAAGTGACCTCACAGCTCTTTGATGCAGTGCTTTTGGTAATTGATGTGCTCTGTAACGTGGGCACGGTGGAAGAAAGGTGCATGAATTTAAATAAAGCTCCGGCTGTAAGTAACTGCAGGAATGAGATGCATTTTTTTCCTTTTGGCTGACTTGACTGAGAGGCGTTTGATTTATCCTCACGAGGAGCTGAGCGCTGGCTCTCCTGTCCCGCTTATTTACTCTCCGCAGTGCTCTGCTGGGTATTGGCCAGTTATTTACTGCAAATGGTCGCGTTGGTACGAGATTGGAGAAAATCAGACTCTTATTTATTTATTTATTTTTCAATTAAAAGTGGCACGTCAGAACAGAGATTTAAAGGTTCTGAGGCATCCGACGCTCTAACTGTGCCGGGGCCTAGGAGGCGTTTCAATATTGCTTTGTTGTCGACTGTCTCTTTAGGAATACAGAGACAGACTGCTGCCGTGGGCTCAAGGTATTTGACTCTTAAATGCTGGCAAGTTTTTACCAATGACAATAAAACAGTCAAAAGACCAATATATATGCATATGAAGGTCACTTTATATTGCTGTTTTTTCCGAGCAAAAAAAAAAAATCAATCTGTGTTTTTTTTTTTTTTTTTTTTAAATCAGTGTTTTCACAGCTGAGAGGTGCAGTAGTTGTACAGTAATTATCTGTGTAATGTGATCTCGAAGGTTCCTTAATTTTCTCATACAGACATGAAGCTTGGTAGAAACGTGGCCCGAACTTTCCTGGATTACTACAAACTGAACAACCTGATAGATGAAAGCAAGCTCACGGGACACATTAACAGGTGAAATTACATATTTCGTCATCTCACAGCAATGTCTCTGATCTTGGGTTTGTTTTTGTTTTCCATATCCTTATGAATAATATTGCATAGATAGTGAGTTTATACTACAGTCCTACTAGAAGACACTCTTTGCATAAGATGAGCTATTTTTATTACTTAATTGACTCATATATTTGCAATATTTAATCAGGAGAAATTTTTGGGCTTAAATTGGTAATACCACTTAATGTTTTGTTAAATGCTTCACACAACAGATAACTTGCAGATTTTTGCTTAGTTTTTACATGACCTCTTATAGGGCTGGACGATATGGCCAAAATTGATATCACGATATATTTTATGAGAGCAGCTAAACTGTAATGCATCTCAACATTTGTTTTCCATCATCCCAAACTTTTTGAACTGAAATATTTTAGTATAGAAGTTAATATTTTAATAATTTAACAACACACTCACATGCTCAGTTGAAAGTCACATGTCATGCACTAAACAAATAAAATAATTTATCTTTTTTTTATTATTTTTGTTTTATTTTTCAATTTTATATTTGAATTTGACATTTTCATGATTGAATTATTAGCTTTTCATCAACTCACGAACCCCCCGTCTCTTCCTGTAAATACTGTCACATGCTTTATTTTCTGTATGGTTACCTCGAAACAAGGGGTGGCTCATCAACCCTGAACTTCTGATTCCTACAAAACTCCTCTAATAAACATCCTTTCTGACTTTCAGCCCTTTCGATGGAACATCCACCAGTCATCAAGGAAACAATGCTGGAAATGGGAAGGTTAAAGGTGACAGAAAACCCCATGGAGTCAGGGATTACTGAACACACAGAGAACAGGGAATACTGTACGGTTCCTCAGTGAGCATCACAACCTCGACTAGGACGTTGTGAACCACAGTCCACTTGCAAATTGCATTTTCATATCAGCCCACAGCAATCCACCAGATATTTGTTGTCTAAGTTTTTATGTGATGATAGGACTCAACAACTGTGAATAAGTCTTCGGTATTAATTCTCACTTGTGAGATATTGCACGGAGAAAACATCAACTGTAAATTATCCCACCGGCTACATTTATTGTTTTTACAGTGCTTTGTTGAATACCAACTACTTTCTTTGCCTTGCATTTGGAGTTGCCTATTATCAGTTCAGAAATTGTATTTCACTCAGCTGTACTCATTCTGATAAAGTGATTACTTTTATGAATTCTTTGATTATAGAGAATAGAGAATTCTTTAATTATAGAGAATAGAATAGTCATCTTGAGTTGTTTCTTCAAACCTGAATGTTTGAAAATTGCTTAAATATAAAGCAATTGACCTGTAATGGTTTATTATATTCATGCTTTGTGTTCATAAATTTGCTTCTAATAAAGTGTTTGATAAAAAAATGGCTTTCCAGTGTATTATTAAGTGCTTATATTAAAATCCAGCAGACGTAATTTTGAAATGCTGTTAAAAAAACAAAACAAAAAAAAACAATGCATTTTAATCCTCTCATCATAGTCTCAGGGCAATAAGCATCAACACATTGTCTGCTGTTCACCAAAGTACTCTAACACAGAGTCTGTTAAACCTGTAACACAGTGTCTCCAAACAAAGTCTGATCTGTCCACACACAATGAATGCACACAGAACCCAGTGTGAGGGGGCAAAAATACTGAATGGCTCAAGCTATCAGTCAAGAGGTGAAAAGCAGTGTGTATTTTTCAGGCCAGTCATTCGGAATAACTGAGGTAATCAGTCAGAAAAGGCAATAACAAATGACTTGCATTTTAGATGGTATAAGAGAAGATGGCGAGAGCTAATGTGAATGAGAAAACACATCCATCTACAGAATCTCGACAAACACACACACAGGTAATGGCGCTGTCATACCTAAAAGCATTTGTGCTTATGGAGAGCCTCGCCTCCCTACTGCGCTGTCATTTTAACCAGAGCCTCAAACCATTAGTCCTTTATGCTTGGCTCACCTCGCAGCCACAAACACATCCTAATTGCCCTAAGGCTGCTGTGAACTGTTTGCATTTCCCTTCTTAAACATCAACATGGTCCATTCCTGTGTACAAGTTAACTGGCCTCTGTGATTCTCTGTGAGGTCCGTCTCTCAGCACCATCAGTGGTATGGTTCACTTCGAGGCCAGATCCTTCATTGGACATCATTATAAGCAGCTTAAAACCGAGACTTCATGAACTAAAGTCCCCCACTTTTAGAATTTCTACTTCCCTTCACCCTACATTTTGAAAAATAGTCATTACTTTTCAAATACCCATGTCTGAATATGTCCTCATGTGTCAAATCATTCCTGGCCCCTTCTGACTTGAAATGCAGCTGTTCTTAAAGACCAAACACGCATAACTGTGCATTTTCTTACCAAATCTTTACAAGATTGACAGAGTTAACTCAAATCTTGGGTTAAACCTTCAACATCCAACAATTTTTGTCCTGTTTAGAAATATCCTGTTAAGACTGCTCTTTTAATTTTAGTTATTTGTTTTATGAAGTAATTCATTCAGTTATTGCAAATAATGATTATTAATTGAAAAAGAAAATCTATTTCATTATTATTAAAGCTACAGCAGCTGTAGCTTTAGTTTTAAATATCTAACCATGAAAATGAGGAGCCATCCATAGTTTACTTCTAAATTTAGAGAATAAAAAAAAAAAAAAAAAAAAAAAGAATTTTTTTTTTTTTTTTTTTTTTTATTTGTTTTTTAATATTTTTCAAAAGAGGTGAGTTTTCAGCTGTCGCTTGAAAAATGTCAGGGAATCAGCATTCCGGATAGGGGTTGGAAGATCATTCCACCAGCCAGGAACGGTGAACGAAAATGTTCTGGAAAGTGATTATTGGCCCAAATCGTAATATTGGTGCATCAAAGTAAAAAAAAAAAAAGTATTTTATTTTATTTATTTATTTTTAATTGGTTTTTAACGACTTTCAGATATAGCCATGAGAGTACATTAGGATAAACAGTAAAAATAAATAATAAAAAAAGGATAAAACGTAAATATACGTAAAAAAAGAAAAAAACGTAAAAGTTAAATAAAACAAAATGTGTACAAATATTAATTGTATATTATATATATTTATTTTTTATTTTACAATTTATTTTATTTTTCAGACTATTGTTTTAGGGAGTGTTGAACTCATCTCTAGCTGAACTCCTGCCTTCCGCCTTGAAAACAATTGATTATTTCCCCTATGTTTATTTTAAAGATTTTCTATTTGTTGTCATTTAGTCACTTGATCGTGTCTTCATTTCTTCGCAGTTTCAAAGCAGAGGCCGCTTGGGCTGTTGTCATAGCAACCAAGTTAAAAAAAAACATAGGCGGACTAACGTCGCCCAAGAAGCCTTCAGCCTCACAAATGAGACAAAAAGCGCTAAAATGCACTGTCAAGTTGGATATCCAATCTGTAAGTACATCAGCCCGCGTCCCATTCTGCCTTTTTCGCTGAACAACAACATAAATATTCCTGTTTGCGTGTGTTATGATAGAAGTTATCGTGTTAGCATTCTGTTAGCAACAAGTGGCTATCACGGATGACTGAGTCAGTCCATCAGCAATCAGTCAAAGTTGCAAAAAGCAGAGACATGTTAATAAACGCTCTTGCATTCATTCCAGTCTCCGATGTGCTTATTTGAAGCAATGCAAATGCAAACTCCTCCATTTTCAGCTAAGCTGTTAGCAAGCATGTGTTGGTTTTGGTTTCAGACAGATCTTGTATTTTTTTCTGTACTGCATCATGAATATGAAAAAAAATTATCTTCTGATCTCCAGGATTTTTTGTTGTTGATTATTTTAATACTGTTATCAAAATGATCACTTCTCAGACATCCACATGACGTGACTAGGAAGAGGAAGTGGTTGATTTACATTCGGAGAGAAGCAAGACAATGTGGAATGAAAATTAATTGATATTTATTAACTAATATGTAAGTTTGTGTAAAATGATAAGTTGTGGTCGGTAAGATTTTTTCATGTGTCATGTCAAAGTTGCATTTATTTGACTGAAAATACACTAAAAACAGTAATATTGTGAACTGTTATTACAATTTAAAATAACTGTTTTCTGTTTTAATGTATTTTAAAATGTAATTTATTCCTGTGATGGCAAAACTACATTTTCATCATCCATTACAGCAGCATCATACATTACATACTTAGTGTCATATGATCCTTCAGAAATCATTCTAATGTGCTGATTTGGTGCTCAAGAAACATTTTAGCAGTTGTACTGCTTAATATTTTGTCGAAACTGATCAATTTTTGATAAATAGGAAGCTCAAAAGAGAGACATTGTCAATAGAAAGCTAAAAGAGCGGCATTGTGTGTGAAAGTTGATATAAAATATAATGGTATAAAATTTGGTGCAAAATGACCTCATGTTAATGTTTTTTCCCCCTATAGATAACTTGTCCAGGGGTGGTGTTACCATCCCAAGAAGACATTTATGTGAGTGTTCGGATAATGGGCCAGTATCAGAAGTCCAAGTGTGTCCCTCCAGTTTTCCCTCTGCGGCTACATGAAAAAATGGTGTTTGTGAAGGTAAGACTGTATTAAAAATGGCTTTGATTAATTTCAGCCTGTGACACATGCTATCTTACTATCTGATTTCTTTGTTTTCTTTCCTCTCCCATTCTCTTCGACAGATCTTTGTGGGAGCAGTTGACCCGGCTGTTGTAGCTGAGCATCTGGAGAGTAAGAATCCTTTGGGCTGTCTTCAGTTTGTCCTGTGTTCTTTCATAAACCTCAGATCGATAAACTTATATACCTTTCCATCATGTTGTTTTCCTCCACTGCAGATGATACAACATCTTTAGAGCTCATTCAGCTCATTCCTCCAGGTAAGATCTCACATCCATTCCAGCTGTAACACTGACAGATATTTGAGGCTGGAGATTGAGTTCTCCAAAATAGTGCTGTAAACTGAAAACATTACATTTGAGCTCGGCTTTGATTGAAGGCTCCAGCTTTTGCAGTTGACGCAACAGCTGAATTCTCAGACCTGCTAGTATAATTTCAAAAATTAACCAACATCAGCAGGGGAATACATACATTATTGGACCGAGCACTCTCATTAAAGTATGCATAAATCATGCTGCTTTCAATGGAGGTCTCTTGGGTTTACATTTTTATTTTATTTTTTGCACACAATCTGACACTCATTAGTTTCTTTTGCGTTATTACTTTAAAACGCAAAGAAACCACTTTATTGGCCCAAAACAACTTGATTACCCAGAGCTGTCAAGAAAAACGGACAGAATTCACCATTCCATCATGCATTTCTATTTGACTGTGCAGAGGGTGAGATCCTGGCCACGTTTGAAGAAGACACCCGGGAGTTTCTGTATCCAGGCCCCCGTTTGACTCCCAGAAGCCCTGGCTCAGAGAGAGAGATTCTGATGAAGAGATCCATCTCCTTCCCCGTGCGTGTGTCTTCCTCTCAGCGTTTTTGTCATATCTCTGATGCATCTTAAAAGCCGGTCCCATTTTCCTGCTATTTGCTTGAAGACGTAGATTGTTTTGGTAAATTGATCTGCCAAGAGTGTTATTATCTGCATTTGCCCTCTGTCTTTTCATCATTCGAAAAGTTTTGTGATGTTTTTTTTTCTGCTCTCTATCTCTTCTGTCTCGTTCCCTCAGGGAATCTCTCCCAAAGTGGAGTTTTCAACGACGTCTATTATTGAGGAGTGTGATGTGAAACATGGTCAGCCTGCCATGTCTGTGAGTCTCAGGGCTTTTATTATTGCCATTATATTGCAGCTGGTATTTGCTCCGTTCCAAAAGCTAGTGCGCTGCCTACATAGGCGCCTGGCTTCTGAAACGGCCGCATGATGCTTCTGCCCATTATGTTGTGGAACAGAGCAATTATTTGTGATGCTAAATGAAAAGAAACACTGAGGTTTAAACGAAAAGGATCAAATGAAGGCTTTTTTTAGATGTACATGGGAGTACAATGGGTCTCCCTGTCAATCAAACTGTCTGTTGCCATCTGTGCCACTTTCTGCTGTCCTTCTAGTGGCCTCACGCCCCCTTTCAGGATGTTCTTTTTACCATGCAGGTAATTGCAGAGAATTGGCTCGTTTCTACTCGGATCGGCGCTGATCAGTTGGACTTGACCGGTCCAATTTGTTTCTTCCATTAAATGCTCACAGACCTCTC